TAGACGGTGGTCCCTTTGCGATCTTAGGAGTCACTCGAAACACTCGTGCCTCTTCAGGATGACCGTCATCGTCGATACCAGTCTGTATGGCCACAGACGAGCTACCTCTGAACATCGCATCGATTGGTGCATTGCCCGCGAATGTGGTTCCGACTGAGTCCTTATCATTGCGCACTGTTAGTGGTTCGAAGACATTCTTCTCGCTATGAAAATCAGATTTGTCTCGAACCGATTCCTCAATCGTGCGATGCGGTTCGTTTGGGTGATATTGGACCTGCGGTCCTTTCTCGGGGAACATCCTGAAGGAAATTTTCCCATCCACCACGCCGTGCTTCTCGTTCAATGGCGCCAAGTTCTTGCGATGTATGTTCGAGTGTTCGTTGCGTTTGCGAGAATCTTCGATGTTTTTGGCTTCCGAAATGGTGTTCTTGCCGACAAAGGGCGCGAACTGCTTGCAGAATAATCGATAATCGAGCCGTCCGTTCTCGGTGACCATCTTATTCGATTTATTCTCGTTTTTGTCCTGCTCGATCCATGGTGGTCGAGGGAAAGCAGATTTCTGGGTATTCTCGTTCACGTTGAACGACGGCGGATGGGATTGATTACCGTTTTGGTCGAATATCTTAGCTTTCTCGCGCAAGGAGTTTCCAGGCGGTAGTGCGTTGTCCCTTTGCCAGTGATGACCGAGCGGGGATTTCGGTGTACACGGCTTCTCGATCTTCCGAAACAGCGACGAAGGCGCGTGTCTGAAACCCGCATCCGGTTGCGGCACGTTTGCGTTTGCGAACGGTAAGCTATTGTTTGTCATGCCGCCACTGGTCGGCATCTTCTTGTTTACCGGAATCTGAGGAGAAGTTTGAGGAGTATTTGGGAAGTGTTTTGTGGTGTTTTGCAGTCTCGGTGACAACTTGTCGATCGTGGACGAAGGCTTATCGAAAGCGGTCTTGATGTTCGAAAATCGGCTGTTCCAATTCTCGTTCGGCTGCGCCATGTCTGTCGCTTTGATATAGCCGAAGGATTTGACAAAGGCAGGTGCAGCGTTGTACGTTGTCTGCGTCTCGTTGTTCCGGTTGATCAACGCCAGGAACTTCTTGTCATTCTCCGTTCTCGGGTGGAACGATGGCACGCCAAGATTGGACGCGTTCGTAGTAATCTTATCGCCCACGTTGATGGGACGTCGCAGCACTACGCAGCCAGGATTGTCGTAACCAAGACTGTCGGCCTGTAACTTTAGGTAGCTCGGTATGTCGATGGTATTGGCACGCTTGATTTTCGACTTTTTCGCTGCAAACTTGTTGCTACCGTTATTGCATTTGCTAGCGCTGATCAGTTCTGCGCGTTGCCGAAGTGCCGCCGCAAGTTTCGTCACCTGACTCTGCTCCTCGTTCGTCCTCTTAATCGCGGTTTCCTCGTCGTTGCTCACTTTCTCCTGGTAACCGTTGACGCTGTCTCGATGTTGAATCTGCCGCGTATTCGATTCATCCGTCGTTCTGAGTGCGACTGCCGGCCGATCCACGTAACCAACCTGTGGCGGAATCAGTGGCCGATATTCACTCGTATCCTTATTCCTGTCACGCAACGATTGACGCTGATTAATCACGTCCTTCGTATATTTGTCATGGATCTCCTCCACATGTAGTCTTTCGCCGCTCGTCGCGTTACGCGATGTAGACAGCAATGGTTCAAGTCGTTCAATCTGGAACACCTGGTCATTCAATCTCGCTAGGTCCACGCTGCTCTCCTCCAGCTGCCTCCTCGCGCGTGCGATCTCTTCGGCGGAAACGCCGATGGTATGTCTGACAGCCCGCCGTCTTCGTCCAGATAACGCACCGCCGCCACCGTTCTGTGCCACGATGTCGATCGTCTTGTCGCCCTCGTTGCTACTCGATTTCTTCTCTTCCACCGGCACCTGTAGACGCGACAGTAGGCTCGATACCAGCCGCAAGAGATGTAGCTTACTAGTGGGATCCGATACCCCGCCGTGCTTCGTGAGCGTCGCGATGTCCGTACGTTCGAGCGTCTCGCGCAAACGGGAGAGCGCAGTCTGGATATCCGATAGCAGCAAATCTTCCAGGAACTTGAGCTCGTCCTTCCTCGACACGGGTACGTCGTGGTCGCTGCCGAAAAGCACCTGTTCCATAGAACGGTGCGCGCAGAATCGGTCGCCGATCCCGTCGATGCCGACGTTGACGCCGTGATGCGACGTCGCCGTCGGCTCGTCGCTGCCTCGCCGGCAACCCGCTGCCAGGGACAACTCGAGTGCTTCGCGTAGACGTTCTACCAGTACCGGCAATGAATTCCACTCACCGACTGCCGAGCTAGTACCGCTGCTGGTGCGATGCTGCTGTCCGTCTCCGTCGTTGATGGTGGTTGCCAATGGTACCCCTATACCCGGTTCTGCCTGCTTCGCGACCACCCCCGACACCGGCACGCCGTCATCCGACGACGCGCTTCTCGTGATGGTCGCCAGCTCTGCTGAAGAGGAACAAATCAAATGATAATTCAGAATCATTCGCGTAATCGCATTGAGTCTGTTTAATTAGATTATCTAGGAAGATGTGATTCATGTCGACTTTATTAGATAGTTATTAACTTGAAATGATTTTTTTTTTATTTGAGAACATTTTAATTAGAATACCTTTTCAATTTTCTATAGCTGTTAATTTCGTTATATTATTGAATTATAAATTTTAACGTTTTTATATTTTAACAATGTTGTATGTATATGTAATGATTAGATCGTGTAACAAAAATACATATTTTGAGTATCTTTGTATAAATCAGTATATACAGTCAATACAGTTTATATCGTGCTCTCAATATAAACTACACTTTATATCGCTCCCTTACTTAAAAATTAACACAATCAAAAAAGCGTGATTTTTTTTAGTTAATAGAAATTTTACTTCCCCTATCTCTATCATAAAAAAAGAATTAACTTCATAAAAGAAAGTTACAATCAAAATCATAAATAAAAAAGAATGATTTTTAAGGGTTGTAAATGATTGCCACCTTTCTTGCTGAAGCTCTCACCATCTTGCCGGAGACTGATTGTCACTCTATTGAAATCCAGAAAGGTGGCAATCTTTTATTTTCTATTCCATTGTAATACATATAAAATAATGCGTTGTTAAAAATTATATACAAATATTAGATATATAAAAGATATATGCATAAAAAATTAATTAACAAGGTAAACTTTATAATAACATCTGAATAAAATTATGCTTTTACGCAAGTGTGAAAATTCATACCTATATATTTTTTGATTACGTAGATAAAATGTTGCCAACGGCAAGATACTGCTTTGCTAGTCGAATAGCGGAAGAAAACTCACTGCTTTTCTGCCAGAACGATCGCTATTTTTAATCCACGATTGAAGAGTCCGAGCATAAATCTTGACAAGTGGTGCTTCTCGAAGACTGAATTATGTACATTCGATATCGGTCGGTGGTTTACGCATTTCGTTTTCTGAAAATACTTTATTCGCGTCTCGTTTCCTGAAAATACTTCATAACGATTTAATGTTTTAACAGAGATTCTCGTCTCCTCTGAGCTTTCAATTTCGTTTCCGAAAAGCACCATTCATGCCACGTTTTACATTCGGATTACAGTTCCGTGTATACGTATCGTGCGATTGAAAAGAAGTGCGAATCTATGTAGTGTAAATTATTTTAACAATAATAAATGACAATAACCTATCGTACTCGGATCTACCATTTAGTAAGAAATATTTTATATTTGTCTTAAAAACGGTCCACTTAAATCTTTGTTATAATTTTGTGTTGAATTTTTAATATATCCGAATGTTAATTTAACAGAATGTGATTGTGTTATTTAAATATTTTGTATTAAGTTAATATTCAATCTTTTTTTAGTATTAAAATAATATAATTTATGAATAAATGGACAAATAACATAAAAATATAAATGTTTTTTAAAATGTAAATAAATTAATAAAATGAGTTAATTTAACATATTAAAAAAATGTTAAATTTATTGAAGCATGTGTTAATTTAACACATTATCGATATTAATTTTAATAAAAAAATATGATCGCTTACAAATTATGTCAGTTACATTTTTTGTCTAAATTCTTTTACATAATATTTATGTTACTTTCTAACATATTCATCTTATATTAAATTAACACAAAAATTTGAGTGGGCCGTTTAGAACGTGTGAAATATATTAAATCTAATACAAATTTTCGAATTGTGAAAATAATAAATAAACCAATGGCAAAATATCGTATAATTGAAGAAAACACTCTTCCTACCGAAACGATATCAGTTTACGAGAGAAATTGGACTGTAAATTTTAACAAATATCATATCCACCAAACGGAGCTAAATCGGAACAAAAAGAAAAGAAGAAAACGCGTTATCTCCACATGTCATCACCGCGTTCTCCGAAACACGCTTCGCACTCTTATCGCTTCACGAAGAGACACGCGTTGTCAAGACCTCGCACGTCCAACCGCTTCAGCACGTCTCCCTTTGGCACGTCAACGCGTCGCGTCGCACGAGCTGGGTGCGGGTCGCGGGGCAGTTTGTTAGAAGCATTGTAAAACAACCGGTTTTCGCGCGTGACAATCCGTCCCGCGCGTCGCATTTGTCGCGATTCGCGGCGCGAGCTTTCGATATCTCGGAATGGTCGTATCGATCGTACCGTGATTGCACCGTTAATCTTCCTTTCTTAAGGGATGCGTGATAGCGAATAATCGCGGGGTGAATTTTAACGGGCTATTGGAACACCGTATTTTTACCCGATCGCGATCGTCTGCCGCGCTGCCGCTACTGTTGTTGCGCGCGGACGCGCGATTTCTTCGCGACTCGCCGCTCGCGAAGAGAAGAAAGAAAGAAAGAGAGAGAGAGAGAGAGAGAGAGAGAGAGAGAGAGAGAGCGGCGCGCGCGAGCGGAGATCGCGACCAAACGCGCGCGCTGACCGGCTTCGGCTATCGCGCGCGTGCTCGCTTTATTTAAAACAACGTACGGGGATTCTCTCTCCGCGGGGATTTATTTTCGGTCGCTCGTTCGACGCCTGTGCAGCTGCTGCGCGAAGCGAAGCGAAGCGGGATGAGGCGGTGCGAGGCGAGGCGAGGCGAGGCGAGGCGAGGCGAGCTATGGTGAAGCCGCGAAACTACCCGCGTGTAGAAGACGAGTCACAAAGCTGAAAACGCTGGCGCGTTTCTTTAACGCGTAATTTTGCACAGTGGAGATCGTCTAATAAAGGCTTGCTACCGCGTCTCGCCCGTCCCATTAATCTTATTATTGCGTTGTTATTGTATCATTAATGCAACCGCATGTAGTTTTGTATTTTTATTTTTGGAAATGAAGGCGTAAATAAAATGACGGTTGCGAAATAACGTCAGAATTGAGGCTGCCTGACGTTATGATTTGACAAAAGTGACGCTGGCTAACAATAAACTGTTCTCGTTTTCCCTCTCTACGCGTCGTCGTTGTTTGAAACCCCTACGTTTACTGCGGTCGATTAAAAGTTGATTATGAAAAATTTATCCGTTTAACTCGTTTGTTTTATTTAAGAATAAGAGAAGGCGGCAGACGAATGTACGCACAGATACATAACATTGGTTGCACCCCAGTTGTTGCGTTCTACTTTGCTCCACCGCCCATTTCATTTCTCTTTCCGGATGGAAAAGCTTTCGCAGCCTTCTTTTTGCGGATTGCAAACACGTCCGAAAACGACACATTTTAATTTTTTGGTGAATGGAACCGAGAACTTTAAAACTAAAGACAATACAAATTTTCCATTTTATACATACTAACGTCTAACTTGTGGTATTTCTCTTCTATTCCATCTTTGTGCCAATTTTTCTGCTCTCTTTCTTCACACACACTATTTGATCTTCTCTTATTCCGTTCATTGTCCTAGTCTAAAAGCATTGTCTTTGCTATTTCTATATTCTCTCCCTTCCTCCTAATTCCTATTCCTCGCTTCTCTCTCTCTCTCTCTCTCTCTCTCTCTCTCTTTCTATTCACACATACACTGCTTCATTGCGTTCTTGTAAATTTTTCTGTACATTATTCACTATTGTAATTATTTTAAAAGTCGCAGCGCTTATAAGAAAATCTAGTCCTCCAAGAAATAATTCTATTTTAGTCTTTGTAGTACGTAACAATAATTCATATTCTGAGAATTTATATCGGGCATTTCCATTGTAGTATCAGGTAACTGTGTAATTGTATATCGCCGCGAGAACGTAAGATTTGTAAATAACGCGGGAACCTGTAGCGCGACCGAAATAGTTCACGCGTAAGAAAGTTTAGATTTCCTTGAAACATACCGCGAAACGCAGATCGCCGTATATCCGTGCTGAACTATCCGCTGACGTCGCTATTCAAATAAACGCTTGAACGTCTATGCGAATAATGGCAGCGCTAACACAAACACGTCGACGACTTAGTGAGCAACGCCGATTGGTTCCGACAAGCGCGACGAAGTAAACGCACCGTGAACGCAATGCGTGAGTTTGTCGGCAATTTCTTCAAAATTAATAGAATTTCTATTTTAACCGGCGCGCGAGATATCCTAGAAATGCTCAATTTAATTTCAAATAAAGAATTTTCTAACTTTGAACTTTCCAGAGCAATGATCGTATAATTTTTTCCTTAAAGCGAAAAGGTGAAGAGTGAAAATTACTATCGAATGTAATGGAGAAATTTTTCGCTTTTCACATTTCTGCCTTAAGAAAAAATTACACCGTTATCTAGATAGTAAAAGTTAATTAATTTTTGTTTCTATAAATATATTGATTATTGCAAAGAATATTACCTTCGGCGAGATAATGTTTTTTGCAATAAATTGTTTACAGATTTTAATATGTTTATCAGTAAGATCTTTCTAAGATGCCTATGAGCATTAAATTATTAAATTGCTTGACAATTCAATTTGATAGTAATACGGTAGTTCTGTCGGTATGAAGTTTCGTTTAAGATCGAAAAATCAATTCGGCGCGCAGTTTAACAGAATTTGTTACGTAGTATATAAATTCACACCGAATTATTTAAGCACTAAAGATCCAGCTTCGATCACCTTCTATGACCTTTATTTTCTATTAGTTGTATATTCACATAAAATCGTCCAATAAGATATTATTGTTTATAAATTAATTTTTCTTAACTAAAGTCAAGTCTGAAGTTAACAGAAATTGTGGTCGGTATTCATAGTTCATTTTTATATTTAAGGCTATTTTAATTATTGATTATAATGATAAACTGTACAAAGTCGTTAGCATTTTAAAGTTATTCGAGCAACTTTGATATGAGGACGAATTGTGAATTCCGGCTTAATTTCGAAAACGCGGCAAAATGTCTTTCTTAAATTCAGCACACAGTTTGTAGAATTAAATATATGTTCACACGAATTATTTAGTACTTTAAAGAAGCATGACTGTTTACGGCTTTCATTTTCTAGTTCTTAAGTAATTAATACTAACAATAAGTTTAATGAAATCATTTTGTTTATCTAGATTCGGCGTGCACGCCTTTATAATCCTTTTTCCAAGTTTAATTATACCAGGATATCTAATATTGGAAGGAGGTATCAAAAACACGATGGCACGAGATCAAATTTGCGAATTCTTAGAAACTAAAGAGTACGCTTCGAATTTTAGCACACTTTTAGCGATACATTTTGCTACAATGTATCTCGTTTCCCGAATAAATTATAAAAATATATTGTTTAAGAGCAATTCTTTAATTTTTGAATTTCATGTATTAAAAGTGTATGATGCAAATTTGTAAGTTGTGACTCTTCTTAGACCAAATTAAATCAGTATAGTGATATTGCTGTTTGCACAATTTTTGCATTTCTATTTAATTACTTAATATTTTCAATATTCAAGATGACTATAAAATTACTTCTTAATGTTACTTGATAAGTAGAACAAAGTACTCATCACCAACATTACCAACCTGAGACCGACGTTTCTTCCTTTTGCGTCTCTTCGCAACTTGGCGTCTCTCTCGCTTTTGTGTCTTCAATTTCTTCTTCTTCTTGTTTCTTTATTTCTTCTTGTTCCGTCGCTTTTACTTCTTCTCGTTCCTTCTCCTTAACTTCCTCTTGTTCCTTGTCGTTAACTTCCTCTCGTTCCTCCTCTGTTTCCTTCGTAAATGATTTTTCTGACAACTCTGAGTTATCCGATTCCTCTACCTTGCTTGCTACCTCATGGTCAACTTCCGTTGTTTCCGTGGTTTCATCTTGTGTATCATCCTGCTCCGAAGCGTCCTGCGAATCTGCAAAAGCGAATTAAAGATAATAAACATTTAGCAATACAAGCGCATGTACGTTAATCGAAAAGAGAAGAGAAGCGATCATCCGCAATGAAAGATGTTTCTTTTGATGAATGAATGCAACGGCTTAAAAGATTAAAGTTCTCGATGCGTTAGTCGAAATTTTTTAAATGAAATTTTATATGTCATGACAAAGAATGTTTTAATGTTCAACAATATGTTTTTTTATTTCTAAAAAATTCATATTTCTAAAAAATTTACATCCAATTTCTGTATAACTCGAAAGACTGAAAGTATATAAAATAAAATGCAATCTCTCACTAAGTTTTTTTTTTATAAATATTTTTATAATTTAATATTTAAAGCATGGTATTTGAAAAAAAATGTAAAAAAATTGTAACTGGATAAAAATATACAGAACTTGGTGTCTTTTTAATCTCAATCGACAAGAAAAGAATAAATATATGATTCTTATTATTTTTGATCGATTTCGTATAAGACAGGCAGAGTTTTATAAAGATCGATGACGTAGCTCGGCGAACGCTTCTTGTTAATAAACATCAGTGCAGTGGCGAACATAGCGGCATTATATATCACGGAAATGCGACAAGATGTAAACTGTTTGCACCCCAGAGGCAGTAGACAGAGGTACGTTTTGATTGTGCGAGCGAATGCGGAATCCAGAATCTTTGGTTAATATACGCTCTGCATTCCGTTACACATTACGTTGATCATATTGAACATTACATTTTTGCACGCATACGCTGAATTACTCTCGTTCCCGTGACTTCCTCCACTGACACTTGTTTATCTATCTACGATGATACTCAAGCAACATGGTCGTGACAGAGCTCGTAAAGAGGCCCTCACCTTCTATTTCCGACATTTCAGAACACCGCACCAACTGGACGCCTAGAAAAGTAAACACATCTATTAGGAAACAATAATATTTGCAATTTCATTTTCTCCCTACTAATATCAAAGTAAAAAAATTTATCACGAATCGGTGTTTTATTTAAAAATCTTGGAGTAACAAAATTTTTTATTTTTCTAATTTTCAATTTAACTATGTATATAATAAAAGATTTCACGATTAAAAAAAAAATTATAAAACTTTGATAGTACACAGATGATGTCCTAATATAATAACACTTTTTTTGCTGTAAAAATTTATCCTAAAGAGGTAAAATCAACTCTTGAAATTTTTCGATCTATTTTTCGTTTTTGTTTTTTTACTCATCAAGGAAAAAAATTAATAGAACGAAATTGATCGAAAAAACATATTTCTTCTAATGAAATTTATCATTTATTCAAAAAATATGTAAACTTAACCATAGGAAGAATATATTCTTAATATTCTTATATTTTTAATAGTTTATATTGTCAAAATTTCATAATTTTTTAAATTTTAAATTGTGGATCTTCGTGTAAGTTTGATATAGTTTACAAAATCATTTGTCATACTCTTATGTAATGTAAAGCGATACATGAGTTGTCTACGAAACTTGTAATTTCACCTATACTGTTTTTTAAAATTATAAACTGTTTTTTAAATTAAAAATTTATTAAGTGTGCTATGTGTCATCAATATATTTTGATGAATATGTTTATGTTCTTTTTTTCAATTTTTTAAAATTTACGATAAAAGCATTAAACGACTTTGTGAGGTTTAATTTACAAGTATGATCACATATTACAATTAATCCGATGTCATATCAAATATGCGATACAGGAATCGCAAGCGAATTAAAGCGATCTAGCCGATCGCGTGGTATGCGAATCAAACTCCTACCTTCTTCTTTGTGACGTTCCCAGATTTATTTTAGATTGTTCCCAGATCGAAAAACTTGTTCGTTATCAAGGATAACAGAGGCGGAAGAGTGAAGTGCACACACGTGGTACACCGTTCGTTCTAACGAAACATCGTCGTCGGCACTTTCGAGGCTTTGAGGGCCGTTTCGCGCTAAAATAGCTCTGACCTGTTTTTCGTACGTTCGGAAATTAGGAAGAAGCGGGCTAGACAGCGCGCTGATTTGCGCGGGACGACCATGATAGGTAGGCGGTAGTGGCGAACACGGTGTATGCCACGAGGTCGCACTTTATAAATAGGCGAGTTGCAGCGTGTAGGTAGACGTCTCCGAATGCTACCGCGAGGAAGTGCTCGCGTTTCGTTCGTCGAGATAGAGATAGAGATTCCTCGTCGAGATTACCATGCAATTTCGCGCGAACTTTCCGTTTAACGAATGAATGGGATCGCCAAGGAATCGATTGAATGAAAGAATTGGGATTTTAACAAAGAGAATTTCATTCATCGATTTGTTCTTTCTACATCGCGGTTCACTTTATCAATTCTTGAGTAGAAATATAAGTGACCTATAGAAATGATTAAAAATAATTTAAATTGTGGGTATATTATGAATTTAATAACACTCTTTTTTTTCTCTATCAGATTCTTGAATTTTTAAAAAAAGAAATAGGATATGGGAACAGATTACTGGTTGCGTCAAAACGTTTTTTTATTTACTTTAAAAAAAAAACACAAAAAGATTTTATGAAACCGATAGAAACATGCACGATTTGTATGTAATAAACGAATATTCAACCCAATGAGAAATGACGCAATTCGACATCGAATTGATAATTTTGACATTGATTCAACATCAAATTGATGATCATTCCTCATTAGAAATAAATACTATAAAATTTTTAAATATTCTTTTATATATTTTTTTAAATATTTTAAATATTTTACATTTTTTTTCTTTTTACTTGTGTGGAAAAACTAAATTAAGGTAGCAATTTATTTTCTTACCTTTTGCATATTACTTTTTTTAATAAACAAATAAGTAACTTTGATAAGCTATTTGATATCTCAATTTCGACTTTTTTTATACAATTGTTTATTATATCAAATACAAATTGTGCGTATTTAATTTTAAGTCAATTTCATCTCTGTGTTTAATCCAATTTTATCCTTCCGATCCTGTTTATCGTTACTATGCGTTCCAATCGCGCAGCAGTGACTTTTAGTAAATGATTCTATGTGGCAACACGCCAACGATCACTTTACCATCCTGTTACTTAAAGCTCGCCGACACACGATGACGTCCTCGTCGAATTTTCGCTTCGTCGACGGTCACGTATTTTCGGATACAGGAATGTAGTTTCCATAGACTGCGTTCCCGTTTTCGGACTTGGTGGAAATTGTCACTTTATGAACATCACAAAAAAAAAATCGGAATCCAAAAAAGAAAAAGTAATATTTTAAAATTTTAAAGAGAAAGGGAGAGGGAGGGGGGAGAGAAAGAGAGAGAGAAAGAGAGAGAACAGGGGAGAGGAGAGTAACGTAGAATTACTAAATCCGTTTTAATTGCACATTCAGAAATTTTGATATAATATGTAGACGTAATTATAAATGTAATTATAAATGTAATACGCTATTAGAATATAATAGGATTAAATTTAATTCTTAATTGCTCTTTTCTTTCTTTTTATTAAAGATAAAACACAATAGTTAAAACTAATCCGAATTTTATAACAAATATATCTTTTTATGAAAGAAAATGTATAAAGAAATTTTAGTGTGTTTTGTGCGTATGCTAGAAGCGACGATGCATTTGAAATAAAAATAACGTTTATGAACAATATCCTGTTTGCTTGCAACAAAGACTTTTGAATTGCTTTGGAACGTTTTTCATGATTAGTTCTTATCAAGTCCGGCATTTCAAAAAATCGGTATTTTAATTAATTTTATTTTAATAAGTTATTTCTTCTTCGTAACCCACTTTATAGTTCTATGGTTAACTCTTTTAAGATTTTTCACGAACATATATATGTAATACTAAATTTTTCTGAAAGATTGATACCGAAAATTATATAATTAAAATTAATCTGCACCGTAGATATACATACCTATGTCAAATAGATAAGTAAAAAAATTTTCTCTATTATATATACTACTATCACATAGTCTAATTATTTTTTTGTTTAACTAATATTATTTTTTTGTGCTAGAAGAATTTAATAATCATTCAATTTTTATCTCTATTTGTCTTTATTATAATTATAACAGACTCATACGCATCAACATTCTAATTTTATATAACATTAAGCTCAAGGAAGGTCAAATATAAGATTTTTCGTTTGAATCATCATAAAGACACCGAATACTGTATTCCAAAAAAAAATGTATCAGTAATTATATTGAGAAATTCAGAATTAATTATCGATTTTAACAATTACAAAATACAGCCCAAATGTCGCACCTGACTAATTCCCTGATTGAATCCAAAATGGACTAGTTACTATTTCGGAAGGATTACGAATTCGTGAAAAATACCAGAGATTTCCCAAGAAGGACGGATATGAAAGGGTTGATTTTACCTTTATGGATCGGAGGACCAGCGTTCGGATGGCAGTTGGAGGTCCAAGCCTTCAGGAGACTGCAGCGAGCAGCGGTTTCGCTACCACCGAACCACCGTTCCGGTGATTATTGACCCCCCCCGCCGTTAAAAGCACAGCGTCACCAGGACCGAAATTAGACGGCCCGAAATAGCGGAATTATTGGCGGCGATATAGCATAGCCGGCTTGGACACGGCATACCGCGGTACCCGGCCTCGGAGAACGAGCGGAATACGGTTCGATGCGCTTCCGTTATCGGAATAATGCGACTCAATGCGATTCGATACGATGCTCGTTCATTTGACATCGGCAAATCGGAGGAAGACATCGCGACGTGCTACTAAACGTTCTCTTGTGCATCAAAGAAAGTGGAAGTGATGTTTTTCAAGACAAAAAGACCTTGTGCCAAATTGAAACGGTTTAGGCGCGAGGAAGAAATCGTAACTGTTATCTTTGTTTGCAAGAGCGATTTGTTATGAATTAAATGTTGATTGATTGTATACTGACGTAATAAATTTTGAATTAATTGTAATAAATTGAATCAGGACTCTTTGTAGTAGAAATAGATATAGCGTAATTTCGAATAAATAAAAAATCGTAAATATATATATATATTATTATTTTATAGGATTATAAAGCAAGATTTTAATATTTCTGAAATATTCAGCTATTTAGTTTTTTATATTTTATATGAAATAACAAATTATTATGTCTAAATCATTTTTTCATTATTTTAATCACTTCACTTTCTACTTAATATTATTTAAATGTAAAAACAAGAGTCATTAAATAATTTTATGATCAATCGTGAGAAAATTCTTTTTATTTGCTGTAAATTCAATCATTTCTTTTTTAGCATATATTTCTCTAAATTACGTAGCAAATTAATTATACCAAATAAAATAATATTTACTTGTATATTATTATTAATTTTAGTATTAAGATAAAGTTTATTTTAAAGTGCAGTGAAAGTTTTGTCTCTTATAATTAACCTTTTGTAAATCAGTTAAGATTTCTTAATAAATCTATAGTTCCATTTTCATGACTGTAAACCGAGTCATCAACTCGTGGAGTATTTAAAAGGCAGTCTGAATTGTTCTAGATGCTCTATTCGGGATTTGGGAATATTTCGGGAACTTTGGAAGCTCTTGTTCGTTCGTCACGAAAGTTATCTCGTTGGCTGGCATCGATGTCACTCGCATGCCATCCCGCGTGCCACGCGATCCGTGAGCTCGAGAAAATCGTCATTACGTGTCATCGTACGAAATCGCTAATAATCGATTCATTGAATCATCGAATAATAAAAAGAAGAGCAGGAACATTGATATATTCTGTTTAATTTTAAATCAATTGTTAATTTATATGTGCACGGCTATAAATAAAGAGTGACTATTGTTGAACTTCAAGAATGCAAACATATTAATATCATATTTTTTAATTAATTTCGAGTGATCTATTCTAATAAAATTTTAATTAAAGCTTAATAAAAAAAGAAGATGTATACTGAGAGAAAAGTTTTTAGTATCTGTGACTATAATTGCATGGTAAAATAATTATAACAAGGAGTTTAATTTTTATTGTTATTATTACTGCTATAATGTTAGTATAATAATTATATTTATGTTTCTATATTAAGAAGAATATAATATTGCCTCCGAAAACGACTATAATTTTATATTCTTTATGGTATAAAAATATGAATAACTAAATATAATTAACTAAATATAATTATTTTTATTAATATATAACATTATAGCAATAATAATTATAAAAATAAAGCTTTCGATCATAATTATTTTATACAAATCATGATCACAAATACCAAAAACTTTTCTCTCAGTACAGGATGTTAAAAATTGAAAAAGACAAATTTAGAACTTCTTCAATATATATTTTTTAATATTAAAATAATCTGAGTTCTGAATTTGATCCGAAAAATCTGTTGTTAAACGCTGATATATTCACGTTCAACAGAAAATTTGATTATCCAATATCTATGTTCCTTAATGGGACATTGACAAAGAGATATCAAACTTAAAAGAAGAGCAACAGAAGTCGACTCGGAGCGAACAGGAGAATCAGATCAGCTGATTCAATGTAGACCTTTCTCGTTTAATCGTTCTTCGTCCCTCTTGCCTTTCTCTCTCGTTCTCTCCCGCCGATGACCATCACAGTGACAGCCCCACCCGCGGTGTTACCTTCTCTCTCTCTCTCTCTCTCGCCGTCCTTCTTTGTCTCTTTACCAGGTAATGCACGAGGTCGTCTGTCGCTGGTGGAAGCCGCTTTCCAAGCGGAGCCTGTTAACCTACTCGGGGTACGAGGCCCCAGTAGTCCCAGTACACTCGCCGCCTTCGGTCCCACATGTCGCACAGTGCGCGAGTGCGCTTTCAACGCATGTCGAGGATTTCGCAAGAATTTTGGCAACTCCGACCTTGAGTCAAATCTGCTGGCCGTAGGTAAATTCCTCTCGAAGGAATAGAAAATCCTTCGGGACTCATGTGTGTCAAGGCCAGCCAGGAGAGATCCATCCTGTTTGGATCACGTTAATAGCTAGATTGCATTTCAGTAAAATCGTATCGAAACAACTGTCAATTCAAATCTTCACTTTTATCCGCGGTGATGTCACTCGTAAATAAAGATCCATCAGTGTTCTAAAAATGACAAAAAGAGAGTATCTGAATAATTCTGTGCCTAGCAGCAGAAGATATATCTTCTCAAAGTCTGCGTTACATGCGCGTTTTTGTGTGCTGCTTTTTTTTTTTTCAAATAAAAGTTAATGTTTCGAAATAGCGTACGAAAGTAATGTACAGTACGATTGGCGAAGAAAATACTGATCGTAGCCTACAATTTTTGCTTTGCCGAGAGCGAGGATGGTAATGTAATTTTTCATTCGAGTGGCCCAGATTCCGCGAACCGGAACTAGCTGATCCAGGAAGATGAAGGGATGGTTCGATGCCTTTCGCAACGACGGCGGTCCGACGCTCTACAGTTACAGCAACCGCACTCCTGTCACCGGTGATGTTCCCTTGGTTATCGTATTCGTGATATTCGGCACCCTGTTCACGGCATTTCTAGTCATATTCCCGGGCGTCAGGAAAGAGGTGAGCAGTTTTCTATTCCTCCGTCGTGTTTGATCGACGATTTCAATTAATTACGAGTTCTGGCCGTGTAAACCTGATTTTTTCTTCCGCCGCAGCGGTTAACCACATTTCTCACGGTTACCCTGAGCCTCTTCGTGGGTGCAACGATTCAAGGTTCGTGCACTTTGTCTACTTTCCAAGTCAAGGGGCCTTGGCTGCCAGTGGCGTAACTAACTGATTGGCCTCGCGAAGTTCGAATCGCGAGAGTTCAATGAGACCGATAAAAAAGCAGCGGCGGGAAAATAAAAGAAAAGGAAAAGATTAATCCAAAGCAAGCAAAAAATAAGAATATTGAGTGGAACTCATCTATACTTTCGTTGCATTGAATGTTGTTGTCTATATTTCAATTTCCTCGTATTGTTTTATTTTTTGAAACACGAGAGTTCAGAAAGGTAAAGAATAAATAAATAATTGAAATAAAACATATTTAGAGTTAATACATTAGTTACGCCACTGTTTGCTTGTAGTATTCGCACTAAATCGCGTGTTTATCTCTAAAGACATTACTTCGGCTGACCAATAAAATTGCGAAATCCATTTGCGGAATGATTAATCGAGATAATCACAAAATGTAACGCCGCGAATGTAACGTGCGGAAGAATAATTGCTGTGCTCTCTATGCGCGCGTAGTGGCGCAATACGGCTCATCCTGGCATACGAGCTCCGCTACCATTGTCAGCTCTTACAGCGCTTTCTCCAAGCATAAGGCAACGGCCGACATAGGCGGTTACATCGGTTTAATGCACATCAATATAACATACAGGCGTAAGTAAAGAAAGCTAGATATCTAAACTTTTTTCTACAATTGAAGATATCAAGCTCTGACTGATTGAATGTAATAAGATAAGCTTGGAAATTAAGATTAAAATTATTGAGCTATATTCCAAACAAAACAAGTCAAAATAACGTTACAATAAATAGTTATTAATTAAATGACTTTCTATTTTGAAGCCAATTTAATATCATTTTGACGTTAAGATGACTTGTGTTTGCACTTGCGATTGCACGTCGCAAATTGCAATTTCCGAACAGATGTTTATGCAACGATTCGTTCTGACTTACGTCAAGTAGATTTTATCGTTGCAGTATTGCCAAGTAACGAGCAGACGAGCGGTGACGTCGAGTACAATGAAAGATTTTGGTGGCGGAGTTCTGGCGAAATGACCAGTGCATTCAAACAGGCTCTTCATCAGGGTGCGCCGTTCCCCATTGTTTCCTTGGCGGAGTATTTCAGCCTCCATCAAGAGGGATTTTCTTGGGGTTCACGATATCGCGAAGCTGGATATTATGCTTCGATAATGTTATGGTATGTTATTACTTCTGTGATGAAATACTTTCGTAGAAATCATTTTGAGAGTCATAATCTAATATTTATAGTCCGTTTTTATTACAAGACCATTATCTTAAGTAATGTTTTAATACACTACGGCTTTGTAATTTATGACATTTCAAAACTGTATTTAAAAAGGTCTTAAATGTAAAAACTGTGACTATGTGAATACTAGCCTCCACAATCCATTCTTATTTTAAGACGTTATATAATGACGTTTTAAGATATTAATGCAGCTCCGTGGCTGGAAAGCATTGTATTCATACAATGCTTTCCAGCAAGAGACACAGTCATTACATCCTTGCTTGTTGTTTGCTAATGTTAAACGAAGATGAAATATAATTATTGTGTTAAACGCTGTGTTATGAGATTTTAAGACATAAAATTTAAGTTTTAAGCACTAAGCCGTAAGAAATTGACCAATCATAGTCAAGTATTCTCCTCACATTCGATTGTAATTGGTCAGTTTCCTACGGTTTAGGGGTTTAAAGCTTAAACTTTACGTCTTAAAATTTCATTGTAGACGCCGCTTTACACTGTGTCTCATACTGCAAATCATCAATAGTTGATTTTTATTTAAGATTGTTTTAAGTATAATCTTAAGATGTTATAATCTTAAGATAATCAATCAAAGAGTCATATTAGCATCTTAAGATATTATTTAAGACGATTTTAAATATAAGAATCGATTATGAATACGAGTTTTCCATTCATTGCGTGTACGCGAAATGAGGAATCTTTCTTGTGCAGGACTTCCTTTGCCTCGTGGTTAATGATGAATTTGTTACTTATGGTGGTACCTCGATATGGGGCATACGGCATGATTTTCACGGGTTTATGCATGTTGTTAACAAACCTGATCTACACGTCACTCTTACCATGTGAACCTCTGATAGCCCACATTGAGGGTTCGATTCTTTCTTTCAATCTCGGCTGGAATTATTGGTTGGTGTTGTCAGCTGGTTCGTATTTTTGTGTTGAAATTACTTTATTAAGACTCGATCAATGTATAAATATACGTACGTGATTGTGATTTCTTTTTTTCACAGGTGCTGCGTGCCTCTTTGCGGGACTCGTAATAACAGCTATAGACATGATCTTCCCTCATCAATTTTCGACCATACTCGAGGTCGACTACGACACGCCGTATGATAGGCACGTCATTATAGAGGAGAGTTTCGATACGCGTAACGTTAGGCGGAAAGTCCCCAAGATTGAAGATTCGTTCGGCGATCGAATAATGAGGTTTGCATTATAATCAGTCGAATTTAAGAGAGATTTGTATGACTAAATTGGAGACGAAATTTGCAAATTTATTTCAGAAAAAGGAATAAATTGCCATTTAGACGTTATTTATTACGTTAGTTATTTAAGACGTAAAAATTTAGTTTGTAATATAAAATTTATTAAAAATATAGAAATTTTCTGTCACCGAAGACAGGCTTAAAAATTTCGAGTTTTGTCACAATTCTGTGGCTTCTAAGGAAACAATTTGCTCCTTTTTTTATTTATGTTCTTTCCTCAGAATATTTTGCTTTACAGATTAAACCTAAAATAGATAGAAAAATTTTATCATAAAATGTTAAAAATATAAATTATTTTAGTTTTTACGCTGTTATGGTTATTTTTTCATAACATTTTTTATCATCTATTGTAAGTTCAACCTGTAAAGCACAGTGTCCTAAGAAAAACTAGACCAAAAAATAACAGATTACTTTTTCAGAATTTATAGAATTAATATAAAACGCGATAAAATGCGAAGCACTGGAAACTTTTAGGCATGTATGAATGGGGCAAGAAATTTTTATATTTTTAATAGTAATAGTTTTGTATTATGAATCAATTTTCTAATATTTAAATATAGTAGAGTGAATAACACTTAAACATAGAAATGTCCGTTTTATTTTTTTCCTGAAATAAATTCGCAAATTTTCTTTCAAAATTTGGAACCTTCTATTTTCCTTTATAATCGAATTTTTTTTTCTTGCATTCTATGATTCTAAAAATGTTTCAGTCAACTGTCATCTAAACTTCAAAGTAGACATGCCGTTAAAGAGGATACCGAAGGTGTCATTAATCGGGGCTATACGTCGCACGAATTGTCCGAATTCCCGCAAGAAATTGGTGATGAATCTAGCAAGAGTAATTGGTCGTATCCATTCCCGCCAACCTCACGCAGAACCATTAATGCCTAATATATTTCTCAAATGCTACGGACAATTACGATACTCATCGACTTTCCTAAACTATTAAAAATACTTAGATAGGTATTTTATTTTATAGGTATTTTTATTTTATGATTATTTAATATTATTTAATAAAAAAAATGAATCCAAGACATCTCTGACTTGAATCATAAGCGGAAATTCCATTTTGAAAACGTTTACATTATAATTACGAATGTAAAAAAAATGTCATAATAAAGTCAAAATAAATATATGTGTATACATATGTTGACGAAATTTCATTATAATTTATTATAATAACATTATAATAAATAATTTTATAATTAAATAAATTATAATAAAATTTTATAATAAATTATAATAAAGAGAGAGAGAGAAAAAGATTTTCTTTTTCGAATTCATAAATAAGAAATGTAATACTCATGATAATAAATAATAAAAAGCAACGCTTCAGCGTATAAATATGTACATTCTAAATATGTAAATCATGGAGAAAAGTTGTCAAACACATTGACAGTCCGTTATCTCATGCAAACAGGGAGCAGTGTATTAGACTAGCCGAAGTTCTCGAAGTGATGAATGAAGTACGGCAGCCGCCGTGTTTTATTAACTTCATCGCAGGCAGACATGACGCTTTTCGTCAGAGGACGCGGCCCACAGCTAAATACTCCTATTTTGCTAACCTGTAGATCAATAATTCAACATATTTTTAAAAAATAATATCAACAATATTATAGCAGGTCGCGCAAAAGCACGAAGGATGTTTAACTCTTTATCTTCTTCAAATATCCCTTGAGCTTCTATGCGTCGAGCGAGTGTATTCTTAATAAAAACTAATATCATGAACGCACATAGCTATGTTTCTTTTGAACAAATTTCAAAAACGACGTCATGTCCGGCCGACCAAAGTGATTGATGGCCTTCAGGCCAGTGAATATACTCTTCTTCGATAGCCTCTGAAAGTGATTCTCACATATGTACTACATATGTGAAGCAAAATATTATTAATAATTAAATCTGATTGAATTAATTAAATATAAGGAAAAATTTTACGTACTTTTCCATCGCGGATCATACAAAAATTCCAATATGAATTCACTTACCAGCATGGTGGTACGCAAATCGAACTTATGAAAGAATTGCGTTATAAATATGTGAATTTCAAGCACATCCGTAACGTCTTTTCTCTCAACATCTCTGAGAACGTCAATAAACCATTCAAAATGTTTATGCGATGGGCAGATCCATAAAAAATAGACCTACACAAAATAAAAAGAAAGTGACACGATATTATCGAATAAAAAAATAGAAGCGTTTTCTTACTTTAATGAGCCGTTAAATTTAACGCAAGAGATTATATATACCAACAATATTCCGTATTCACGTTTCGCTTTCGACAGTAGAACATACTTTCTAGTATGTAATGAAGCAATCGCCACTTTTGCATCAGTTTTACCGTAACGACATTTTTAATATGAATATGTATTTTCAATTTCTAATATGAATATATATTTTTAGAAATACTTCTCAAATAATCAAAAACAGTTAAATACAATTAAGTTACTTCCTAATTTCGCCGATTATGAATTTCTTTATAGAATAAAAGTAAATAAATTCTTTTTATCCACTTATTCTGGTTAGAAAATTTTCTATGACAATTTATATTTTAATTTATATTTTAATGTATAAAGAATAAATTAAAATTTGTTTTAAAGAAAATAAATATATTTATGTAAAGATGTCTTAAATTTTCCTCACTTGATTATTTTTTTCATTTAATTTTATTTTGATTTGCACTTACCTTCTTACACGCGACGCCTGAATATCTATTGGTAGAGGTTCCAAACACGAGATCATTGAGCATCGAAGCATAAGGAGTCACTCCGATGCCACCTCCAACCATTACCGCGACCTCGAACTTGTACCAATCCTGATTTCCTCCACCGAACGGACCCTCTATACGAATCTTCGGATGATCATCCTCCGGGTTATAATTGCAAGGATCGAAGTAATTACGGAGCTTCCACGTCCACGGCCCTTGAGCTTTTATGTGGCACGATAGAAAATTCTCGTGCGGTGCGGAGGTCAGCGTAAAAGAATGAAATTCATTAGACCTGAAGGCAGTACAGGCGAGACGTACCCACTGACCCGACAGATACTTCAAGTTCGGAGGTCTGTAGAATTTGATCTTTATTACGTCGGAAGGTAGTAATTCCGTCTCGATGATGTCCAGGGCCATGTATTTAGTTCTCAAGCTGACGACCTGAAATCAGTACTCTGATAACACACATTCGGCACTTGATATTATTTTTATATTGCGTTAATAATTCAAATCAAGTCATTTTAGCAACAAAAGACGATTTGCATTAAACGAAATATGAGATAATATTGTACATAACATACAAAATATGTTACATCATGCGTGATCTCCATAATTAATAAATTTTGTAATTATGCGGTGACTATGGATATGATGCATATATACATGTAAAAAAGGGAATTGTTCTTTTTCTTTGTTACTATTCTACTTTACAAAAAAGTGGATATAAAATTACTTTATCTAGCGCGTAAATGATTGCCGGGCCGATGAAGAATATCCAGAATCGCGGTTCGCCTGTCAAACGGGCTAAACCATGGATGAGGCATAATGCATATAATACTACATAGAGACTATGCGTCGACCAAAAGAACTTGTAGGCTTTCTGTCGTATGGTTGGATGTGCGAAGACGAAAATAATTGTCATGATGACGAAGAGAAGAATACCAGTTAAACCTGCAACAAGAGCGAAATAAGAGAATCATGTCAACATTCCGAATATCCAATGAAATTGTGAAATCTTTGGCGAGAACACCTACCGGTTACTGTTCTGAACAGCCAAAAAGAGATAGTAGGTCGTGCATCGCTGGGAAAGCTGATTTCACTGGTGAGGCAGCGAAGATGAGCTATCGGCTGCGTAGAAACGTGATAAAAGTTGACTATGTGACCGACTGTATGCAGCACAGAGAAAAAAAGTGCCGTACATGCTGCGATCTTATGGAATTGTATGTGCGAGTCTAGCGGGATGTACTGCTGAATCGAGAATTCCTTCAGCTTCGTCAACAGATTACGCGACATTGTTAATAGCAGGAGACTGTAGCAGAAGGACAGTGCAGCTGCTGATCCTCTGGTTATGGCGATTCCCACGCCCATTATATGTCTGAGATCCGTATGTTCTGCCATAAAAGAATAATCTGCGAAAAAAAGGCAACAGATTGAAATTTTGCAGCAAACGAACAGAATGCTTTCTAAACAAATCATATATTCAAAAGAATTAGGAAAAATTACACAATAATAATATAACATAATAATATATTATTATATAAAATATAATTATATAATATAATAAAATATATTACACTCAAAGATATCTAGAAAAATCGAAGTATATTTAGACATGTTTCGGATTTTTGTTCTACTTGAGATCGATTAAATACTCACGAATAAATCTCTCGACGAAGAGAGCTATAGTGACGACGTAAAACACAAAGAGATAGAATATATTCTGCCTGTTCTCTTCGAGAAAAGTCGATATGGCATCCCACTGCTTTCGAGTCCAGCTCTTCGAATCTTCCGGGGGTAGTTGATCGATGTGAAAGCTGGTCATGCGAGCAACATTCGTCGATGTGTCGAGAAAATTCTGCTTGGCACCTTTACAATCGAGACCGATCGCGACGAAATCGCCTTTATATTCCTTCATCATCAATTTAAAATCGTTGTACGTGAGGTAGTCCTTCCTCTCAAGTCCAGCGTCCTGATTAATAAGGGATTTAACAGTTATCGCGACGATGACAAAAGACATTTTAAAATGAATATTATATGCTACCATAATGAAAATAATAAAAACGCACCTGGAACATGCCATCGATCAATTCCGTAACGTGATCATCCGAGAGACTGGTGGTACGCGCTATTTCCACCAACGACCTCAACATCTCCGACAGTTCTTCCTTATCGATCACGCCGTTGCTATCCTTATCGCACATGTCGAAGATGATACGCAGCTTGTCTTCGGTTTTGCCACGTGAGAACAGCAAGACCGTGTCCAAGAATTCCTGGAATTTGAATCGCTCTTCGCTGATGATCGTCAGACAAGATAAGAAAGTTATATTCAGACAAAATGCACAGTAAAAGCACAGCTTCGATGAAGCGAACGACAATTATACCTGGAAAGAAATCCGGCCGTCGCCATCTTTGTCAACGATGTTGAACATTTTCTTCACGAAGACTGCGTCGGGTCGCATGCCCAGAGCACTCGCAAACTCGCTCTTGGAAAGCGATGTGCGCATTACCGTGACGACCTCTCCGGTGTCACTGTCTTCAGACCGCCGCCTTCGTTCGCCGGGCCGTAAACCGAAAGTCAACGCGTACGCTTCTCTGAAGAACTAACAACATTTCGCAGTGTTATCAGGAATGTCATAATCCTTCCATGTGTATAATTAATAAATTTGTGTGTAATATAATAAGCGTGTGGAGCGAAATTGCTACCTTATTTTAAAAGTGACACAACTAAAAAAAATTAATTAAACAATATAATATAGAGCTAAGAACCACTCAGAATATTATATATGCAAGTAACAATATAATTATATATATTAGCCTTATATTATATTGTTTAATTTATTTAATTATTTGACCGTTATTTGACCGTTATTATTTGAGCGTTTTTATTTATTTTTAAAAAATTAAGTTTCTCAGAAAATGAGATAAACTATTTTTCAATTTGACCGAAAATTATTGACGAATCAGATAACATAGATAAAAAGAATATATTCACATAATCAAATGCGATTTTTATTTGACAAAATCTTTAAAAACTTCCTTTGGAGTTGTAAAGATTTTGATTTTTTTATAAAGTTAAATTAGTTCATTTTTTATAAAATGAATAATGTTTGCCTAACCCATTCATGGAAATAATTCACAAAAAAGCTCTTTTTGTCGCTCTTGAAGTAGAAGAGCGGAATAAATTATATGGAATCTATATATTTTCATATATAATTATACGTTCATATTTCTTTCTTTTTTTTTTATCAATTAAGAAATTATTTCTTCATGAGATATTAATCCACATTTCAATGGTGAACGAAGCTGCGTATACATTCATGAATGTATACCCGTGAGAAGGAGAAACAAAC